TCTACAGTCCGCTACGACCTTTGAAATCTTCGCTGCATCGGCTGAAGCAAGTGCGACACGATGGGCTATGCAATGGACGTGCACAAGATATGAATTATGATCCTGCAACCTCTTCCCAACTCCTGAGTGTTTCCCGGTCATAACAGACGCACCATCCGATCCTAGACCGACCACTTTTTCCAAAGGAATGTTCCATTGAGGCAAAATTTCAAGAATTTTTTCCATGATACATTCGGCTGTACCACTATGAACTGAAAAATTTCCTAAAAACACTGTTTCTGCCTTTCCGTCGTTAACGATTTTCACAAACAATATAAGTTTTTTTTCAACCGTGATATTTACAGTCTCATCGATAATGAGTCCAATAAACTTGCTTTTTTCAAGTTTAGATTTTAAATGTTCTTTAGTACTCTCAACAAGTGCATTCTCCATCGCATCTATCGAGTCTGAATGAGTGTACGTTTCTCCCTGTAAATGTTCACATCCGTTCCGCAGCTGCAGTTCGATTAGTTTAGAAAACTTGGAGGTAGCAATATTTTCTTGAGACATGAATAAAACTGTGTTTAACATTGCTGTTAATTTCTCGTCAGATTTGTCTGCTGCCACCTCCATATGCGCTGCCATTGCATTTTTGTGATACATCGTTGTAACGGCCTGATGATGAGAGGTGCTGTCTCTATGATCTTTCAAAGCAGATTTCTTGAGATTAATACAACCTTTAGTGAAACCGTTAGATTTTTTTGCTGCCTCGCAGATTCGGCAAAATATTATGATTTTGTCGCCCTCCTCCTCAAAACGAAGCCACTTGAATTCATTCGACCACTCTGCATTAAACTTTCGCAGTACAGATTTCGTTTTCTTTTTCAAGTCTGGTTCGCTAGGCATTGTGTCCGAAGATTTCGAGGTCGAGGGAGTGTTTGATTCAATACATTCGCTCGCGTCAGCCGCATGTTTCCGTTTCAGATTAGCACTAGACGTCTCCACCCCAAAGAAAGTGGAAAGATTCGTCTGCTTCGCCTTCGGCATGTTTAATCTCGTGCCACGAGGCGTCAGAGATCACGTGATTACCAACGTCATCTATCAAGACAATATTATCCAATCAAAGCGAAGCACGTTAATTGGTGCGGGATAGTCATGCTATTAATAGATGGGGGGTTCCCAGGAATGCGAGACAGACGCTTGCGTTTCTGTGTTTGATGAATAAAGCCTATCAATTTATATGAGGCAAGTAACTGTTGACATGATCATATCTTAAAACAAACAATGTTTTATCGGACATGGTAGCCGACAATGTTCATATTTATCGGCTTGTTGATATTTTTATCGGTAAAAAGCCGGCAATTACCGGAGAACGGAAACACTGTGATCACTTGGATTGTTTCAGGTGTTTCACATAGGTGTCAAGTCTCAAGGGTCGGCTTAGAAAGCCCATGTGACAACTATTTTCATAACGTCCACGGTTCCTAAAACATCCATTGAGTGATAGATAACAATGATCAATCAATCAACGTATTATCAGTTAACCCTTTGAACAAAGTATGTTGTTTTTACATGGGCACTTCACGCCATGATATGAGTGTATTCCCTTTGTTTTAGTAAACCTAGACATGTAAACACTCACTTTTGACATATCCACTGTGCAAGATAACAGTGATTAATCAATCAACGTATTTTCTGTTAATCCTTTGATGACTAGGAACAATCCGTTGATATACAAAAAAAAGTAAATCAACTGATCATTCATCTCTTGCTGGGCTGCCACGTGCATATTACATAACACATATTTCACCTCACTTCAAACCTGGATTTAGATTGAATAATTACCCCAGACACAATAAATGCCAAATGGGAACCTTTGTCAGGTAATCTAAGTGATGCTACCACTAATTGTACCTGTAATAAATTCATTAACTGAGCATCAAGTGAATGACGACAAATACACAAGTGTAGGGGTTATACGAGAAAACGTGGATGACAAGGGAGTAGTAATCGGATTATCGACGCAATCCGAAATCCGAAAATGCTTTCACTGCATGGATACTTTTTTTAGTATTAAACTATAACCATCTGGGGTATTTCCAAATGACGACATCCGATGAGCTCCACCGTTCTTTTTGTCTGTTTGTTTGGGCTGAAGAAATTAATTAACATGCGCCCTTTGTCGAAATCTTTATAGATCACAGTTAACCAATCAGTGTTTATGCAAAAATGCGTAAAACAAATATTGCCTCCAGCCTCCAAGTTTATTTAACTGTCCTTGCAGACGGTAGCCCAGTCTCTGGTCACGCTCAGTTGCGTTGCGTCACATCCGAGTACTCACGGGGGAAAAAACAATAACAAAGGCAACAACCAGTCCGGGGAATTGCGTTAGATCAGTGCCCCTTTAAGCAGAAGGGGTTTGTCGCTCTAACCAAGCAGATCTCTCTCCCACAGCCCAGAGGGTTGTACCGACTCTCTGTGGCACCCCAGCTATTTTCTAAGATATGGTAAATAGTCCATTGTTAATTATTCTTGTAAATAAAATTGTAATTAGTCTCCTGTGACTCCGGCTCGTTGCTGACTAATTCCCCCAAGAAAACCAGCACGCCAGTTGGAAGGTTTTGTTGATCCGAACAGAACCATAATAATTCCATAAATGATCAGTTGATTTACTTTTTTGGTAAATCAACAGATCGTTCCTAGTCATCAAAGGATTAACAGAAAATACAATGATTGATTAATCACTGTTATCTTGCAGGTTACATCCCATTAGTAAGACATCCCATTAGTGAGACACCCACTGTAAGACAGTGGAGTAGGTGGGATTAATTAAACAAACACAGCCAGTCTACCCACTTAACAATGGTCACAGCCCATGATTAGCAGATTAATTGATAAGAGTAGGCCAGTAATTCTGTTTGAATATTCTCAGGAAATAAATGAGTTAGGAGCTAGTAGGAGCTTACTCAAAAAATTGAGATGCATGTTTTGTTAAAACTTATTTATTACACATATAAATTCCCCCTAGTCTGTGAACATTTCATGCACAATCATGGCAGGTTTGCAGGAGGTTGAGTTCATTACCAGTCAAAGAGGTACTCTCCAGGTCCCCTGATTAACATGTGCAACCAGGTATGACATTGTTGTTTTAAGGTGTCTCACAACTGGGCTGTCTTACTAATGGGAGGAGACCATCTTGCACAGTGGATATGTCAAAAGTGAGTGTTTACATGTCTAGGTTTACTAAAACAAAGGAAATACACTCATATCATGGCGTGAAGTGCCGATGTAAAAACAATATACTTTGTTCAAAGGGTTAACTGATAATACGTTGATTGATTGCTCATTGTTATCTATCACTCAATGGATTTTTTAGGAACCATGGACGTTATGAAAATAGCTGTCACATGGGCTTTCTCAGCCGACCCTTGAGACATGACACCTATGTGAAACACCTGAAACAATCTAAGTGATCAGTTGAGAAACGAACACGGGTTATAATATCCCGAAACGATATATATCTTTTAAAATATTTGATTGTTACAGAGACATGTGACAAGTTTCTTTGTACAGCTGCAGACAAGTGGGATATTGTTCCTTTGTGTGGATATTCACGGATACATTTCTCGAACAAGGAAGCTGCCTAAAATTATACACATAAATTTGGTAGGTTGTAATTATGGTATTTGCATTTTGTTTTCCTTCATTTCTGTAGCATTGAAGCGATTCGATCTTGTTCCTCTACATCGGTTGGGAAATTCTTCAGTGCGCGATAGTCGTTGTTTTCACAAGCCTTTTCCTTTGTAAGTGTGTTTATATTACCGTCAATTTGTAAAATGTGAATCTCTCAGGCAATTTATAAAATGTGTAAGTATTTCAGTCATTTTGACTGAAAAATCTGTCCAAATTGACTAAAATTGATAAAGGTGATCAAAAGGACCTAAAAACATCACAACAGATTATTATGTAGGATTAGAAGCCAAACAACTTATAGAAATGTACTTTTCAACGTAACATTTTCAGTCTCTTGGTGATGACATTAAACATCAAAATGTTTGGAATTCGTTAAAATAATAATACAGAGGGAAATGTTTTTCAGTCAATTTGTAAAATAACTGAATATTTAGGGGTTTAATAAATTTGAAAATGTAACACATTTTGACAGTAAAAAAATATACACACTATAAAAAGCAATGCTCAGGTGAAATATTTACTTTGTGTTGCAAGTAAAAATAGTGTAAACGAAAATAACAAAATTACCAAGCAAGTGACTAATCAAAACTTCGTCACCATTACCGATGCTACCCACAAAGATACCTACATTTCCTTATTATCTCGAAAACTGTATTTCACTTTGTTGATCAATGTGACCATACGTCCATATTACTTCCCATAAAGGTGACTAATGTGCTTACGAATGGCGCAGCAGAGGTCGCGAACTAGTCTAGATTTCTGCTATACATCCGGGTACTCACTGGGAAAAAACAATAACAAAGGCGACAACCAGTCCCGGGGATTTGCTTTGGATCAGTGCCCCTTTAATTCTGGACCAGACAATCATGTGATTGACATCATGAGCATCGATCCATGCAACTGGGATACAATGATATGCATCAACCAAGTGAGTGAGCCTAACCACTGGATCCCGTTAGTCGCTCCTTACGACAAGCATAGCCACCATTTACGGTACGTATGGGTTGCTGAAGACCTATTCTACCCCGGATCTTCACGGGTGACCGTCATTACCCCAAAAAGATTATTAAGATGGCCAATAAGATTATTCAGTTGAATAATGAACAAAATCCTTGATAAGGTTGTATTTAAACGGAATACAGTGACACGAATACATGGGTTGCGCATACGTATGGTATGTTTTTTTTAAAATAAAAGCAAACAGCTGACGTGATATCTAAGCCGAAATACCACGAAAATAGGTGACGGTGCGGAATAGTAGGCTACTCTGACTCAGGCTATCGGTTAGAAATCTGTGACCACATCAATATTTTACTGACGAAACATACCTTTCGATGTTGGGGACGTGTAATAAAACGTTTTCACGTCCTTGCAGCGCACGTGTTCTCCCTGGCTTGGCACCTTAAGTTTCGGTACGAGGAACGACGGTAACTTCTCCTCACAGCGATAGTCCGCGGAGCTCTCTATACGATGCTGCGCTGGCACAAGCTCCTTCCCAGCGCGTGACACCTCCGTTACACTCTCGGTAACATCGCTGCCACCAGTGTGGGCGCGGCCATTACAAGAATCTTGAAATTTGCCCTCTAACCCCATATTAGTAACGTTTATACTTTCGTTTATGTCTTTGAGAATGCCATCATATTCGCTTCCGACGGATTCTAACAAAAGGTGGATGCTTGACTTTGAGACATGTGACCTACGGCAGAGACCGCCCTCGCGAGAAGTTAATTGTGGTATACTGTATATTCTAAGGGTGCTCCGAAATTCAAATTGACAAAGAAAGAAAGTAATTTATCAGCGGTAAGTGTATTCGGCGTCACGCCAGTCGTCACTTGTTTGTAAACATAACGGTCATTCGGTTGCGATTTCAACTCACAGTGGGGAGTTTTGACTGGTGGCAGCGATAGTACTGAGAGCTCCGGGAACGGACTATCGCTGTGAGTATAGAGAGCTCCGGGAACGGACTATCGCTGTGAGGAGCTTGGCGCTGGCGGTACTGTGTAGCGCCAGCGCAGCATACCCAGGGAACCAGTTTAGCGTTCGTTTATCGACAATAAGCTGGTTCCCGGCTCCCTATACGCGTCGTCGATTTGTGATATTAGAGAGGGGGCCCAGCTTATAATTATCGACTTTTATTAAGGGAGACAACTCATCACAACTGCCGAGCTGCTTCTTGCATGCCACAAATGAATAAAACGTGTAATTTATGTGTGGCTAGATGAAGAAAACAGTAATTCTCAGCCTTCTGATTTGTACATTAAAAGTATCAAATCGCAGCATCAGAATTATACTTTTCTGTCGACTGAATTAGGCCAAATTTAGTATTTGCTCAATAATAAAGCCACAATTTACAGAATTGTTTTGTTCTGTCAAGAAAATGACACTTAAATTTAGTCTTTAAGTTTTCCGTACTTCCTGGCCAATAAAATGTCTTATTATGTACCACGTGATCAGAACAGGGTTTTCCTTTGAGCTCATGGCGGATAGTATGGGGTCATCTTTATCCACTTTAATCATGTATGTATCGAGTTCAAAGCAAAATAATTTTTCGTTTTTGTGAATGTGTATATCGTCAATATAATCGGTGTAAAGTGTAGTCTCTGTACGTTGACTAAAATCGAATTTAATTTTGCTTTAAGATAGAACACTATAGTGCTAAGGTGAAAGTATCCTTATAATTAAATATGAATGTATCATTTACATTATAATTGTGTATGAAGAAGATAGAACATTATAAAACTAAACGGATGTGATAACGTGTCAAACATTATCTTTAATTCTTTTTTGCACTGACAGATATTAAAATGAACCTGACTGATCTACCAACAGTCGGTTTAATATAAATTAGAACTACTTCAGTCAACTAACAGGGTCTGTTGGAGCTTCATATTGCAAATACCAGCATAATGTGGAGAAACTTTGAATTTTTTAACCACTTCAGCGTTTTAAGTGAGCAGTTTGAGACTGTGTTGCTTCTCTCACACAGGTTTAAGACGTTAGACGTTAGATATTCGACCATTTCCGCACTCCGACACTTGCTACCAAAGGCAACTAATCTCACATGGTTGTTTCTAGCAGGATCGAACATTTCATCTCTCAAGTTCTTGAAAGATCTTGAAATGTGTGCAGCTCTTATAGATGTATCAAATTGCATCTGCCTGAACGATGAGGAATTTGCTGTTATTTGACAGTGTGGTAGTTTGGATCAGCTGTATGTATCTTTCAACATTCTTTCATCTACAGGGATGACATATATAGCACAAGACCTTCCTCTCTATTCTCTAGATGCTTGTGGAATATCCTTTTCTCTAGATCAGTGCAGAAGGCTCATGGAACATTGCTGGAAGTCCCTTCTGTTCCTCTATATCAGTCTTGAGGAAGGCATCACAGGACAAGTTTTCTGCAGAGAAATAGAAGGACATGTTTCTGATTGCTATTTCAATATATTTTGAGACAAGAAATAAAATGGATCAGGCACATGCTTTACACTTATTAGAAACTCTTTTTTGCAATGATGGATATGGACACGTTGATATTAACAATATATCTGTTGATCCCGTCTTATCCATACAGGGAGTTGCACCAATGCCACCAATAAATTAATTGTTTGGCGATACAGAAATGCTCACAGAGGTAGTAAATTCAGAATGTGCACAGCTTCAAATCAGTTTGTTTCCAGTGCAGGAAATAAGTGAATTAAAGACAAATGACAATTTTGTAGGAGAACCAGATAGTGAATTAGGTGACACATTGTTTGTTCTACCATCTGTTAAAAGCACAGCCATTGATGAATCAGATGAAGAAGCTGTTGGACAAATAAAAGTTACCCATGGGCACAAGGAAAAGAAACACAAAAGTGCTAAGGGTGAGAAGAGAAACAAAGCACAGGACACTGAGGAAACAAAACAGAATGATATAAAAGGGAAAGGGCAAACGGGGTTAGCGAGCTAAAAGAGGGGGAAACATTTTTCAGGAACAAACAGATAGATGGTGAGGATGTAGAAAACAGAGGAACAGAAGATGAGTCAGAGGAGCTGAACGAAATTGAAACAGAACAGAGCACATATAATGAAGTTAAAAAAAAGGAGTGAGTGAGTGAGTGAGTGAGTTGGGTTTAACGCCGCTTTTAACATTATTCCAGTCATATCGCGGCGTGAAAAAAGGAAGGAAGAGGATTAGAAATGAAACAGAGTGGAAATCAAATATCCGGAAGCGAAGGCAACAGAGTAGGCAGGACCATGTAAATTGCAAAGGGATAGCAGAGAACAACTTAGGATTGTGAGGGGAAATGTCGTTTCAAATGTGCCAGACATATTTCCAATGAGAAAAGGAATGAGATATTTGATAGCTTCTGGAAGTTGACAGATTCTGAAAAGTTTTTTTCTGTGGGAAAACTACACAGAAGTTTAGCAGTACGAGCTCCATGTAAAACGCACACACGAAGAAATCATGCAACATAAAGTACTTTGTCATCACAGATGATGACACTGTACCGTTTGTACTCAGTGATTGATCTCCAATTTCAAGAACGATGATCGTAGATATATTTGTGCTGAAAACAAGATAGTTGTTTCTATTGGTCTCATGATTTGAGCGCATGTTTTCTTCTAAAACACCATCTGGAATAATGCAAGTTACAACTAAATTTTGTGTTGCTGTGCGGTTGAAAGATTTCTCATAACACTATTTTAGTATTTTACCAAGGCAAAGTGTTCTTAAAGTTGATATGTTCACACAATTATTGTTATGTAATGTAAAAGTTATTAGACTTTACTTTGAGATGTTAGGAACATGAGTTAAGGAAAAGTAAAGTTGTTACCATAATTAACCTGGAATATTTAAAAGATTGCATATTTACATCGATGATGTGACTTGCCGAATAGGCAATGGAGTATTCTATACAAATTTAGATAGAACACTTTAAGAATGTCAAAATCATTGTGGTAAACTGTTCTATCTAATGGAAGAAATTTCTTCGTTTCAACAATTTAAAAGCCTTTTGGGACATACTTTGTCGCCATTGTGTCGTTTCTACTAAATATACTGAACAACAAAAGTTCCTGTGACATTGAATAAGATTTAATGCAAGTTATGTTTTTTACCAAATCTGAAACAATTTCGGTTTGCAACAGATAAAAGACTCCTGTAAGTGTTCAAGTGATTTAATTTGCCATACTGACTTCAGAAAATGCGTGATTTCATTAAAAACCCATGAACATACCAAAATGTCAATAGCTTGTGTGTTCACCTCTGGTTGCGATGCAAGCAACACATCTTCGTCTCATGGAATGGACCAGGCGTCGCGCAAAGTCCTGTGGGATATCTGTCCATATCTGCTGGAGCATGTTTCGAAGTTCCTGGAGTGTCTGGAACACGTGGTTAACGTCGAAGGCGCCGATCCATCTGATCCCACATGTGCTCGATTGGTGAAAGGTCAGGGGAGCAAGCCGGCCAGAGGATGACATTTACGTTGTTTTGTTGAAGAGAATCCTGAACAAGTCGAGCAATAAGAGGCCGGGCGTTGTCATGTTGAAAGGTAATGTCTGGGCCATGACGACGCAAAAACGGTAGAACAACAGGGCCGATGATCTCGTTGCGGTAGCGCTGTCCATTGAGATTGTCCTCTACCACTATCAAACGGGTCCTCTGTCTTGCTGTAATCCCACTCCATACCATAACGCTGCCGCCCCCGAACCGATCTTCTTCCATGACACAATGATTGACGTAACGTTCACTTCGACGTCGGTACACTCGAATCCGTCCATCGCTGTGGCTGAGGTGAAAACGCCAATGGATAGAATTTGTCCCCACTGCATGGCCGTCCAGCGTAGACGCTGTTTGCACCACTGTAGACGTGCTTGACTGTGGTTTCCTGTCAAAATGGGATGTCTGGCGGGTCTTCTGGCGACAATCCCTGCACATCTGAGGCGACGACGTACGGTTTGTGAAGATATTCGTCGAAGGCCAGGGATTCTTCTTGCAGTCACTGTTGCTGGCTGGAATCGATTTCGTAGGTGTGTTGTTCGAATCCAGTTGTCTTGTCGATTATTGGTAACGTATGGCCTGCCACTCCGAGGATGGTCTCTGACTGCATTCGTCTGTTGCCAACGTTGCCATAAACACCAAATGGCGTTTCTGGGGTCGTTAAATTGTCTTGCAACATCACGTTGACTCGATCCTGCTTCAAGCATACCAATGGCTCGCAGACGCTCATTTTCGGACAGACGTGGCGTTTCGTAATGTTGAATAATTGCGTAATTTTGTTGTTTTTCTGAGTGGTTGTTGTCAGCACGATGCTAAACAATGCATATGGAATCCCGTTAACATGTGTTTATACCCATTCTTGGGTAGTGAAATGCATGGGGCTTGCATAAAAGTCAACTTTTGCATGGAATGCATGTTTTTCTGTAGCAGTTGCGTTTTTGTGACTTGATTCCATACATGTACTACATTATTGAAAATCAAACTTTACTTGTTTGAAAAATACACTAAAATATTGGTGTCACAGGAACTTTTGTTGTTGAGTATATATTTTCATAACAACTGATCACTCCTCCCTTGCTGCGCTGTCACGTGCATATTGCATAACATGAAATACACCTGGGAACCTTTGTAAGGTAAACTGAGCGATGCTACCACTAATTATACCGCTAATAAATTCATTTACTGGGCATCAAGTGAATGACGACAAATACACGGGTGTAGGTAGGACCACGAAACATGGATGACAGCATAGGAGGAGTAATTGTTGTAGTATTTGCAATTTAGTAACCTGAATTTTTTACTGTATTGAGTATATGAACTGAACTTCATTGGTGCAAAAAAAATACGTACACGTATTTGCTGTATACCAAAGTACATAACTGTTCATGCACATTTACTTTAATGCTTTTTTTTATTATACCCCGCCCATATGAAGTCATGCGGGGAATGTAGAAACATTGTCCGTCCGTCATGTTCCGTTCGTTTCCGGAGCATACACTGAATTGGTGCCTTGTCCTACACAGGAATTGGTTTTTATTTGCGTTCCATGGCAACAAGTCGGACTGCAAACGAGAGCCTAAAAAGCAGCTATTTTAGCAGTATAACTCTATTGAAATGGCATTGCATGACACGATTAAGTATCAAGCTATGAAACGCAGGCATTGGATCAAAATCAATCTCAGTCATCTTATCAACGCAATCCGAAATTCGAAAATGCTTTCATTGTGGGGAAACTTTGTTTTTACAAACTTTTACTATCAGGGGTATTTCCAAATCAGGGCACCCGATGAGCTTCCATCGTTCTTGGTATCTGTTCATTTAGGTTGCAGCAATGAATTAACATGCACCCTTTGTAATATCGAAATATTCGTTGATCACGGGTAAGCAGTCAGTCTTCAGAACTACACATAGATATTGCCTCAAAGTTTATCTCCGCTGTCCTTACAGACGGTAACCCAGTCTATTGTATCCCTCAGTTGCGTTAGTCAGCAAATCGGCTCACTGCAGCTAATGAGTCCCAGCGGGCAGTGTTTGACAGCCGTGTAGAAACTGGAGTCAAGTGCCCTTTAAAAGTTTTGTCTGAGTTCTTCAGCAGGTGTCGATGCTTTATCCGTACAGGCAGTATGACCCTGAAGCCTTACCGTGTGCTTATTTGGCCGCTGTTAATGACAATCTGGGTGTCAAAGAGTCTGTTTTACAGATGTTTTCAGTACCTGAAATTTCTTTGAGGGGTGGGGGCTCAGGGCAGAATACACCCGGAATCCATGAAATATGACACTCGTCAATCTTGACTTTGAGTAGGAGTAGAGTAAGATACAAGTAAACAACAGCTGAAGTATCAGCAATGGCCATTGACTTTCTAACAAATCTTGGCAGACGGGGTGCGTCTCACCCTTTCTCATTACAATGGTTCTAAGACTCCATGAAGCGATGGCCTCATCTCTCATTTAACATACCCCCGTCACTTGCAGTTTAACAGACCAGAAGCTACGTATTTCCTCCATAAACGACCGGTCGTATATTTCTTTCAGACACTTTTTACCCTCTGCGTTTAATCGCAAATATAATAATGGGGAGAATATCGTCCATAAAAAAACTACCGAGGAAACTGTCAAGACGTATATGTACTTTCAAGACTTGCATGAGGTCATGAAGAAGTAAGATCTATTTGACAAACCGGAATTCATTTATAATGATGATGAAAAGGGCATTGTAGATAGCAAGTCTGTGGCTGTAACATGTGCCAGATCCTCCAGCACCATGATCCCTGGACTTGGCTATGCTACAGTGGACACCATGATTTGTCTTTATGGGTCAGCGCTTACGTGCTGATCTTTTGTCTGTGTGCACTCCTGGTGCTGGTGGTGACGTGTGATTCAGGGTTATCCAGATATTCACCGTATCTTCAGGGTCATTTGATTTCTTGCTTGCAAGGCATACTCTGCGTCCCTTAATGCCACATAACCTGTTTTCGGCATGAAATGACGTCAAATCGCTCTGAGCCATAAGTATTGTTGATTTTCATTTTCCACAGTACCACGTAAACTCTCTTCTGCTGTTTTAATGCAGTCTTTGTGATCAGATTGGGAATGCATCATCTACTTAAAAAATAAATGACGAGCGGGAGTTGTCAACAACCAGGATCGATTAATTAGAAACCAGGCTATAAGAAATCGAGCCCAAAAAGCCAAACAAATCGCTGCTCACTTGCACTGGGCCATCGGAGTTCAAGTTACTGATCAGACACTTAGAAATCGTTCTCATGATGGGCGACCAGGTGTTGTACCACTGTCAACAAATCGACACATTCTAGCCAGAGGCCATCGGTGTTCAGAGCATATAGATACTGGGTGAATCGCCGATGGTATCGTACAATGTTTTCAGATGAGTCCAGATTCTTTCTATAAAGGCGTGACGTGTCTAACGGCGTCCTAACGAACGTCATGCGAACATCACCGTAAGGCAACGTGACAGATTAGGGTATGGGTCACGGTCTCTAAGACTGCCACAAACGCCACTACTTATTGTCCATGGAAGGATGACTGGAGAGTACTAACAAGATAACATAAGTGCGCCAATCATGGTGCCGTTTGCGCGCCATGCTGGTCCAAATCTTATTTCGTTTAACAATTGCTCTTTTACATGTTACCTTGATCAGCGACGCTTACACACAGCTCCACTTGCTGGTTTTCGAGTGATTTTACTCCGAATTACTTAATTATGATGCACGTTTTTGGTTAGTGATTGTTCAATAATGTCATGTGTGCATGTTGCATCAATAACATGTAGGTATGGTCGCCGATAATGAAGTAATTAGCCAATAACACTTTGGCCCGGTCCGACTTTTAAGCAATGCCGTTTGGTGTGTTTGTGGGAAAGTCTAGCCGGAAGAACTTGTTCCATGTGTTAGTTCTTTTCAATTCATGGACGCAGTGCACCATCCGTCGTGTGCTCACTGGGTACACTTGAAATACTGCACTCCGACACGTGCTGTTCGTGCGATCGGTAATTTCTGGATCCCTTGTCTCTCAGAAAACACCGAAGAGCATTATGGAGAATTGTCTTAGGCTCACACGTCCCATTGTTAGGTTTTATTTAGTTAGATCTACTCTTTGGTCGTGTTTGTAAATATTACTACTTTGATTGTGACGCTGTGATTCTGCAACAGTGGGGAGATATTTCTATGATTTCTTTAATCGTTCCTTACCTTCGAACTTCTTTTCACGTCTTCAAAAGCACAAATACGACGGGGCGCGGTTTGTTTGGTATCATCTTTCGTTTCGTTCGGAAACAGTGGAAATGTGAAACAGACTATAACTTTCGTTCTCACAAGCCGATCACATGACTTTCATGGAGGGACTCGAAATCACGTGACTGTAACTAGATGGCGCCTGATTTACTCGTCTCGCTCGGGATTTATTGAGAATTACGGTTATTTGACCATCCAAGTGTTAACAGAAATAAACGTTCTCAAAGATAAAACTTTAGGATTGCTATTAGATACATTATCAGAAATACTTAGTCGGGGCTCGAAAACACCATGCACGAAGATATTAGCAATATACGTACGCGTTGTTACCTATGACTTACCAATCAAAATTGATACCAATTGGACTCTTACGTTATTATTATGACGAACAGTCAAAATGTCGAAGACTGGCGCTTCTTACGTAAACTTTGAAACACACACTAGTAATAATTTATACGACAGCCCCAGCATTACCTCCCCTTATGCATTAGAGGGCGCTGATGGTTGTTTTGACGTCAAAGGATGCTTAACATATCGTCGGGTTGACACTTGCTGGTAAGAAATTATAATTTTACCACATTTTCCAATTGCTTTATTTCACTTTTATTTTATTGTGACATTATTTCGTCAATTCAAGACCATGTCTTTTTTGGCAAGATCATGAGATCACTTGTTGACTTGGTGGAACCGATCCAGTTTGAAGCCGAATGCAGACGATCGCAAGCGATAGGCCATTTGCCTTGAGGTCTTTTCTACATATAAATGTCCATATTGTATGCGATATGTGGTAAAGAAGCATTTTCATGTTGAGTTTTGGTTTCTGGTGTTATTAAGTTATTGGTAGGGTTCGTCTTGCCACATACGTGTAGGCCTATCTAGGCCTATATCAGTGAAACATTCGGTGGACATAAAATGTCAATGACAATACTGACATAGGAAAACGGTGGTCAATAAAACCTACTCTATTGCATCACATTGGATATGCTTGACCTAACTGTGATTTCATTAACCCATATTGTTTGATGCTTACACAGTACGCATATCGAACACGCGCGTGGCATAAGCCGGATACGTCAAACTGCAGTGCCAGTGGTTACTGTATCGCCTCATCTCTTCATGGTTTAGGATGCCAGATTGTCAGTATTAAGCATATTTAACTGTTCAAAGATATGCATTAGTGCTTCAGGATAAGACTATGTTTATGTCCATTGTAGTACATTGCTATGCCAATCTACTATCCATACCAGTCCTTGTCCATTCTGAAGACATGATCCAACATGGCGGACGTTGGATTACATTTCAACTAGATATCAACGAAAAACTATTTTGCCCACCTTATGGCGTTGTCAGATGCCCCCTCACAACCCAAAAGTGAGTGATTTGTACAGTCCTTGAATATACGCCAACTCAATATTTTGCCAGATGGTGTGTAACAAATGCAACAGCTGATCATCTGTGGTTATGTCATTAGGCCTAACTCTGTCTTGTGATTTTCTTTTTAATTTTGATCACACACTTTTGATCAAATCCTGGTCTTTGGACTGTGCTGGTCACCCCATCATATCTATGTCATTGTCAGAAATGAAGGTTTTCACAATATTGTCTCCACCATGAAGCAGAGCATTGTCGAGATGAAGTACATAGTCATTTTGAGGGAAATGTCTGGTTATTAGTTCTTATACCAGGGCAGAAACAGGTACAGGCTAAAACGGCATCTCAGCAAAACGTCGCTGATTTCTCGGGCGAAAACAGCAACTCTAACTGTCGGGCGAAAATGGCACCTATTTATAATAACGATAAGAACGATTTACGTAGTAGTATGTATGCTTTATTTACATACTGTATTATGTTATGTTGTAGTACATATGTTTTCCTTGGGCGTGGATACAGTCTGTTATCCGCAGAAACATTCTTGTGATGTCAGCTGCTGACAGAAAGGGGCGATACATATATGTTTTTGCAAGGCAATAGCTATTTTCGCTTGGTGTCCTTTTACTACTATCAATGATAATAATGTATTTAACATGTTTAAGAGCATATTTGTTGCCTTCGACAGCAGACCCATTAAACTTTTTATCTCAGAGACTGATTGGTTCTCCCCTGCATTAATTTCATGTGGTATATCCTTCAAAGGTCTCTTCCTGTTTTCCTTGCCCTTCCTGAACAAGGATCTACAGTCGCAGTCATTGATTTTCTTCTTGCATTTCTTGATGTTAATTACTGAACCAAATTCTTTTGATTTTCAACCCATATTCAATCATTTATAATATGAAATGAAAAAGATAATGACATCAAATGATGAATCTTACACAATGGCAAAGATGGAAGGGAGAAAAGCCATGTAAGTGTGTCATGAGAGCTAATGCTAAACATGTAAATTAGAACGAACCATACAAAATATGACTGGTGTGGGTCTGTATGTTAGCTGGTTGCCACCATCTGTGGTGGGGTGCAAACAGGTCATTTCAAGCCCAAAGTTCATTTCCAGAGACATTTGGTTAACCCTACTATCGAAAACTCATCTGGAAGACAATTCACTATTCTCCTCAAATCACATTCAAACCTGATTTATTACCCCAGGATTAAATATGTTGGTGCTCTAATTTCTGATATTTGTGCAGTTAGTGCACATATTTCTTATCAGTTATTCTAGGCTTTCTGTGACCAGATTCCACATTGGCATATGAACCAATAGTGGTAGCTCTGATGTCCATATTTGGTCCTCACCCTGTGAAGGTTCTTCTTGCTCAAGTGTCACTCACACAAAGTGAAATTCAATTCTTAAATAGATGAATATATGTGCTGATGAACTCAGCATTGTGAGCTGGTTCAGAATTTAATAGCCCTCAAATGCTACTAGTCAATGATGACTATGATCACTGGATTTTTACTTGTCCTCAGCACAATCTTTGGATAACAGACTAGCATAATTTCAAAGGCTGTCTTGAGTATATTATTCTTATGTAGTGGCCACGTTATTCCAGTTTGGCAAAAAGAGCAATGCAAAAATTTGTGAGAAAAATACTCATGTTGTATTTTTATTATCTAAACATCAAGATGTATGTGGGCTGAAATGTAGACACAATTACAGGATATTAAACAAGCTTCCCATTTCATATCAAGTTAATGTCCTAAGTAGATCAAGTATTACCTGTCACAAGCTTTAGTTAGCAAAGTTATTTTAGAGGGAACATAATATACTTGACATAATATGGGAATGGCTTTTGTATCCTTTTTATTACCAATGGTGATTTTTAATCAATTGTCAACAAAATGACATCATGTCTCAGGGCTCGATTTAGCTGTTATAGGTAACACTGGTGTATGTTATATATATTTAAATATTCTCCAATTCAACCTATTTTGAAAGGTGCGACCTAATATTTATCTCTACATGCACCAAGTGCATGTAATTTTTTTTTATCTAATTTGTGTCTGACTCACCTTTCTGTTCCACACAACATTGATCTTTGAATACACTAAATACTGCAAAGCTTTATTTTCAAACTACACCACTAATCCCTGTGTAGTTTGTTATTTGTCAAGCTTTCTTGACATCATCAAACTTTGGATACTTCATTATCAAACTTTGTGTTCCGATTATGTTTTATAACAATATGTCATTAATTTAGGTAAAATCATGACAGTCAGGAAGAGATCTGAGATTGTATAATATATTTAGACTATTTTATGCATTTGTGTTTCAACTTTGATAACTTAATGGGACCAGGATGCAACTAGATTTTTATGTCAACATGCACCTGGTGCAAGTTAAATCAAGGTCCTTAAATTGAGCCCTGTGTTTAATGGTTAAAAAGTAAATGGTAAGGATGTCTGGGGGCATGGGGGGATGGGGTGTGTGTGAAGTTTATGGCAGAATTGCTCCCAGACCCGACAGGTAGCCGGGTGCGCAGAACGTGCAGAAGCTATGCCTGATGCTTTTAATATACTGATTTAACTTTGAAGTTTTACTGCAGTAACCCACATGAATTTTAGTTCATAAGAAGACTTTTTCTGTCACCAAGGCTAAGCTCTTAAAACTGCATGTTAAATCAACACAGCGATGCAAAGATTCATGCCAGGCGATCTGATCATTTGTTCTTTGCAGTGAGCGAGTTGTGTTTAACGCTGTTTTAAACAGTATTCCAGATCACGACATGTCAGTTTGAGGTGGAAGGAAAGCCCAAAGTGATGCACTAACCCATGAGCATGGGTATTGGGCTGACACACCCAAAAACAAAACCAGGCGAATCAGGATTCTCAGGAACTCATGATCAAAGGTTTCTGGCTTGCCCAGTGGCTGCAACTCTGCACATCGAATTGCGGCGCCTTAGATGACTGGGCAACCTGTGTCATCCGTTCTTTTTTGCGAGTGTGAGGTCGACGTCCCCTGCTTGCATGTTGGTAAACGTGACTTCTGACTAGGCCCAGTCGTCTAAGGCACTGTGATTCACTGTGCAGAGTTGCCTCCCTTGGGCATGCCAGAAACCTATGATTGTGGGTTCGAATCCTAGTTCACCCCGATTATGTTTCTAGGTTTGTCAGCACCACACCCGTGCTTGTTGGTTTCACTGAAGTGGTAAATGTCTGAGACCTGCATCACTTCGGGCTTTCCTCCCACATTAAGCTGACACGCCATGATATAAATTGAATACTATTAAAAGCGGCTTTAAACCCAATCCACTAACTCTTGACTACTGGCTGAAATTACTGACAGAATCTTAGTGAACGACTGGTATGGCAAGTGAGTGGTACACAGGTCGGCAAAATGACTAAAATTGCCATGATTTATGTTGGAATTGCAACAGAAGAGTTGAAAACAAACTAAACATGCTAAAGTAATACCACTTGTGTAATGAAATCATTTTCAAATGCAAAAATACTTTTGCAGAAAAAAACAATTAATAATGGCTATTATATATATTTCATTCCCCTGATAATCAAATAATAGATTGTCAGATAGAATTTGGAATGTCTCAACATTTGGTCAGCTGACATAGGAAATAATAACAAGAACTGAAAAAGTGTTTTTATCTTAAAGTGAAGCAATGGGGGGGACAAGTGCTGTTTGACATTATTGTTTTTGCTGCTGCTTGCTGGCACAGTTGTGCATTGATCACAGATTTTATAACACCTCCATTAACTCTGTGCTTAACAACATTGCTTCATTGAGCTGGCATTGTCCCTGGCCAATGGTATTTAAACGTCCAAGTGAAAGAGTGCTGAAATCATATACTCTATAATCATGATAATCAGATCCAAAACAAACCTATTTGGGTGTGTGGGCTGAAGCTAATGGCGACAACAGAGCAGCAGTGCATGACATATTTTTTCATTTGCTGATATATAGAATTGGTTGCAGTGTCTAACCGACTATATGATCTATCTGGTGATGTGGATATGTCAGAAAGCAATCAAGAGAAAATCTAAAAGTTTACAATCCTCACAACCATGTTAACCTCATGACAGTCTGAACAGCGTGGTTAATCTTTCAAACTGGCTGACATGATGTTGACTATGTTTCTGATTTTATCAGAGAGTTGTTTTTTCTGTTG